GTATTTCAATTTTAAAAACTTGTTTCAATTTTAGATTACAAAAAGATTCTAAGCACGACAACCCTGGGACATCACTTTCAATTGCATTAGTTGTAACTCCACGAGCCAAATCAAAATCAAATTATGATAAGTATTCGTAAATACCGCGTAATTGCCTTGACTTAGATTTTTTGTTTGTAATTAAATAAAAATTAAATTACGTTTTTTTTTTTATTACAGAGAAATCACTGGCGATGTGCTATTGATTGAAACGTCGACTGAATCTCTAGAACCACCAATTCATGGTCAAAGAGTAGTTGACATAATGCATCTTATCCAGCAGCTTTGAATTATATCCAGTTATATGAGCGAGCTACTCGTCCCCCACGATGCCACTAACTAATCCATCGAATAGAGTTAAAATTGTATGTTTAATCATTTTTCCAAACTAAATTATACCGATAATGGCCACCGGTCTGGGTACCTATTAAAAGTTTCGATTATAAACGAATAAGTATTCAGTAGGCTCAAGTATTATATTTATCATTAGTTTATTTAGCAGTAAGTGGATAGCGCTATTATTAGAGGAAATAATGAAAGCCAAACTATGCCACCTAGTAATATCAGCGATAGAAGGTGAGGGTGCGACTGGAAAGCCGCGAACATTTATTTATTATATCAATATAAATAAAGCATAAAATTGCGAATAATCTGCTAAAAAATTTGTTTGTGTTAAAACATGCTATCAGCGCCCTAGCGGTGAAAAACTATTTGACGATATGACCATAATATCATGAATTAAAATTTTGTTTAGATATTACGAATGTGAAAAGATAAAATGCTACGTTGCCGACAAACTGGCTTACAGTTTGGCAAAATTTAAATTGTAAATAACGTAGGTACACTCTTTCTAAAAATAAATTTAATAAAATTATTATATTTTATGTTAACTTTTAATAATATAAGTGAAGACAAAATGTACTTTTTCTATTTGTTAACAGATGAAAGTGTGTTGGAAACTAAAATGTACATCGTTGGCGTAGTTTCAAATTATTAAACAAAGGTTAAAACTAATAAGAAACTTTATTTATAAATATGGTATTTATTGGAAAAACACCAGCCAACTTGTAACTAACTGAATCGTATATAATAGAAAATTAACATTTAAAGGAAGGAAAATACTTAACTTTCTTTTTTGGAGTTCCGTAATCGGATAAAAATAGCCGTACGTTTCCGTAATCGGATAAATAATTATAAGTTGCCCCAGGTTACTAACTACCTACATAGAAAATTTCATGGATATCGGTCCAGTAGTTTTTGCGTGAATCTTTAACCTTTTGAGCGCCACGCCACAAACGCATTCCCGTGTCCTGTACAGCAAAACACAAAGTAAACAAAAATACCTACGAAAAAAAAAGTGTTGCCAAGAATTGATATATCGGTAACATACAGTGACTTGTTTTGTTGGTTTTTTATGCAATAAATGACTACTTGTAATCTGGGATGTTTTATTTAATCTTGCGCTATCTGCCACTCTTTGTACATATGTACTCAGTACATAAAGGAAAAACAAATATTACAAATAAAATATATTGTAAATAGTAGTTAACCACACAGCATTACTCCACATCGCGATGACGTTACTGTCACGACTGGACGACAACGGCGTAGCTGACCTTCCTTTTTAAAACTCCCTTAGAGTCGAGAAGTTCCCGAGAAGTCAAATCGCTATTTTTAGATCTCAACCTTCTTCCCTAAAGAATATTACAATTCGGTTTTTGAGACAAAAAAAAGTACTTTTTATAGGATAGGGTGACAAACGAGCACACAGTCCACCTGAAGGTAAGTGGTTGCTGTGGCCTATAGACATCTAAATCTATTCTCGATTACGAATGATGCGTTGTTACCCGTGAGGACTAAGATGGAATAACTCGTTTCCAGTAAAAAGGGTCTGCGGTTCTCTACACTCAACATACGAAACACAGCAGCATTAAGCTACTGTTTGACGCTGGTGTTCTGTAAGAGCGTGGGCCTTCCCCGGTCGATCCGACCCATTCGTGCTATTACTATACTACTAATATAACTGCAACATAGCTCTACCACGAAAAATACTAGTTGCAATATAAAAGTATATAAACATAAAGAGAATTATTTTAACCACGAAAACAGAATCATTATGTTGCACCGCACTACTTTTCCCGCTATTCGTTTAATCAGGGTGTCGTCTATCCTTGACCACGGTGCCCAAGTGCCCAATGAACTGATAATCGATGACGCGCTAAGGATGCGCCCGAGTTGAGATATTAGATTTATTATGCGAAATTGATTTGATGAAATTTTCTTTTATTCATGTAGCTGATGATACTTTCATGTTTATTACCTTTTGTTTTATTCAAATATCAATAATAATTTAAAAAATAATACGTTTGCGTTTAACCTATGCCTAACGCATTACAACACTAGCGGTCAACCTATCTGTATATTACTCTACTCTATGGATCAACCATAGATAGCTTGCTACATATTTATCTATGGCCATAGACGACTTTGGCGTGCTGGATATAGTATTTTGAGAGCTTGGATAAAAAATTAAAAAACCATATGTTTTAGTTCAATGTTTCTGAGTACTTGTGGCTATAAGAGACTTGTTTTGTAAACTTACACATAGCTGGGACATTCTATATTGAGGAATGTAGAAATAAAATACCAATAATAACTTGTCTGTATCTACATTTCATATTTTGTGGTATATGTATGTATGTATGGTATATTTCATGATTTTTGTCAACTATAGACGTCGTTGGCGCTCAGGTCCCGCAGGTGCTGGTCAAGTATAGGCGACTTGGGCGCTCAAAAGGTTAATGCACAGACAGACAGACAAAAATTCTAAAAACTACTAATTTGGCTTCAGTACAAAGGTACTGTACTAAGTCCCCTGGACTGGTTTTTTTTTTTCAAGAATATAATAGAACTACAGACACGACTTTTCTACAGATTTATTATATGTATAGATCAGCAAAATTATGGACATAGGAAGCTTAAGAGGATACCTTGAAAATGAATCGAAGTTTTGGGGGCGTGGCTATTTCCTTTGTCGGTGAAGCTAACGGACGACTGCGGGAGTGTCAAAATGAAAGTGATGCAATGACTTCGTAGTACGCAAATTATGAGATAGCCATACCGAGCAAGTGCTTGGAAAAAACTAAGTAAGCGCCAAACAACATTTTTATTTATTTTAACAAAAATTCGTTATGTATTAAAATACTGATTTATGAAAACTTAGATATGATTATTTACTCTGCTTTAAAAATAATTCCATGAAATTATTCGTAAAAATATTGTAGTGTCATCAAGAAATGTAAATAATTAGAGCCTACTTTGCAATTTTTTTCTATCGAGAAAATTACATGATATCGTGTTTTCCTTTTATGCAAACCAAGGTCATATAGTCAAAAATCATATACCAAAGTTTTGGTTTGTAATCTATAAAACTTAAAAAAATATGTTAAATAGAAAAACCACCAAATTTTCGAGGTATCACCTTAGAATGCAAAAGAAAACTATTTGAGTATATTCATAAACTGAACTATAACAAAACTGAACAATTAATGTATCTACCTCATTAAAAATTATACTCAACCTCCTACATACATACACACACTGTCATACTACACATAAGGGTGCTTACCTACACTCTACAAGAATAAGTAATTGATTTGTGATCTTTTTGTATACAGTGAAATGCAAAATTTTAAAGGGACGAGCGCTGCTGTCTGGAACACAGATATTAAGTTATCTAGTTCACACACAGATGTTCACTGAATTGTATTTATTGTTAAGCTGTATCCTATTTATGGTTTGTATTCTAGAAATTAAGGTATTCTTTGCTTGAAATAATAAAAATAGTATCATTATCGTATCTTGAAAACAATAGTTTGTGCCAATTACCAGATGTGTGTAAAAAAGGTTATTATAAATATCCGAAAATAAAAATAAACAAGTTTATTGAATTATTATATTGTTGAAAATATTCACATCATAAAAATTCCTAATTATAATAATTTAAAATGTATAATGTTAACATAAAGCAAAGATAAAAATAATTGTTTTTGAATCATTAAATTTTTAACAACAAAGCATTACACAAAATAGATCATAAAACTATATTTTGAGATCAGGCACATTCAAGTATTTAATATTACTTTTCATTAATATTGAAATGTAATATTAAACTAAATTATTAACATTTCAAATATACTAAAATAAATAACGAGACTATATAATACTAATTTTAAGAAGTTTTATTGTTAACATGTTTATTTCTTTTAAATGATAACATTTAGTTATTTATTTAATTCAAAAACTCTTGTGGTGTTTAGCCAGGTTAAATTTTACATGCAAAAATATTTAATAAATTTACATCCAATTATGACAACAAAAATTAATAATTATTACTTATAAATTAATAATCATAAAATAACAAATATACAATGTTATTGATATAAAATTTGACCTGACATAACAACAAAATAATGAAAAAACTTAACAAATAGTAGACAAAATTAAGATGTGCCTATCAGTAATGGTAAGATGCAAACCATACTGCCTTGACTGTATGAATGGGGAGGGGAAATGAGGGTTCTCGCATTGCAGTGAGGTGCAAACTTAGCTCAACTGAGTTGTCATTAAAACTGTTTAGAAGTTGATACATGTAACTAAAAATGGTTTTATATTTTACTTATCATTTTAACAAGTATGCAAGCTTGAGAACCTTCATAAGTTGAGCAGGAAAAATTTATCAGGAGCCCATCAATTAAAGCTTGTGCTAGATTAAAACAATAAGCTCTATTAAAAGTCAGGCTTACACGTAACAACAATTTGTCTTGGTGATTGTTAAAGGAACTAATAATTAATGTAAAATGTTATCATGTCATAAATCATAAATCTAATACATAATAAAATATCATAAATCTAAATTTAAATTTTACAGAGATTTTAAAGGTAAACTTCATTAAAACAATTCAATATTCCTGGGAAGGACCAGCTTCTGCCTCAGGTTTGCTTTCTTTCTTTTTTGCAGTTTTCTTTGGCAGGAGCTCTTTTTGGATATTTGGTAATACACCCGCTTCTGCTATTATAACACCTTTCAGCATAAGGTTTAATTCATCATCATATTTTATAGCCATCATAATATAGCGAGGCATAATTCTACAAAATTAAGAATAAATATTTTATTAAGCATACACAGAATACCAGCGTAAAATAGTAGCTTAATGCTGCTGTGTTCCGTATGGTGAGTGTAGTGAGCTGGAGACCCTTTTTACTCGAAATGAGGCATTCCATATTAGTCTTCACAGGTGAAAACGCATCTGCATTTTGATTCATAATCGAGGATGTAGATCTCTATGGGCCACAGCAACCGCTTACCATCAGCTGGACAGTGTGCTAGTTTGTCACCCTATCTTAAAAAAAATACACCTGTAAAGTTTCTACAATAGATATTACCTTTCTCCTCAAGATGAGTAAGAACAAGAATACATACATGAAAAAAGAGCATATTGTTAATGAAAATAATGTTAAAACTTGCCTTACCTAGTTTTACCATTCTCAGTTGCTGCCTTTCCAGCCAATTCTAAAATTTCTGCAGTCAAATACTCAAGAACTGCTGCTAAGTACACTACTGAGCGGATTGCAATCCGTTTTGCGTAATTGCCTTTACGTACGATTTTATGTATTCTTGCAACAGGGAAAACTAAACCAGCACGTTTGCTACGAGACTTATATTCTCTTTTTTTTATTGTGATTGTCTGCTTCTTGGTTGCCTCATTTTTCTTGGGTTCTGAAACAATATAGCGCCAAATAGCTTTTAACTTTAGCAATACGATTTTACGAAAAATAATATATTTAAAAGAACTTCGTACTGTTGATACCATGGCCGGACATTTTTGCGCTTTCAGATAAACTGTAATATAAGCACAAGATAATTTTCTAGTTTGATAGTTATACCACCTTATACCATAAAAATGAAGATGAAAATTTTCAAGTACTAAGCAAATTTTAATTTGACAAATGACAACTAAAAACACGCGAACACAAATTGCGAATGGCAATTTTTTTTTATTAACTGGCTTTATGGCTCTGGTGAACTAGGTGTGCAGAGTTTGGCTTCAATTTGTTAGTTATTATGAGATCTTACCTCTGGACTTGATAGTGACCTGAAGGTGTACTTTCGTGAAAGCTGAATTAAAATACTAGATATGACTAGATGAAAAACTTTTTGAAAACTAAATAAAGTTGATGAGAAAAAAATTATTAATGAGTCAAGTAAAAAAGACTAGTTTTTAGCATAATGCCTGAGTACAAATACCTAAAAATTAAATTAATATAAAAGTTGATTTCTGATCCTTTTAAGATAAAAGATTTTTCAATTACCTAACAATAATAATTCTTTTGAATCTCAATAATAACAAAGTAAAAAATATTCTATTGTTGATTGAGAGTTTTTTTCTACATTTTTCACGATCATATGAGCCTTATGAGTTTAACGTTGGACATAAAATTATCGGAAAATTATAAGTAATAGTAATTAGGGTACTTGTGAAAACTTGTGTTTTAAAATACTTTAAAAAATTGACAATATTATGTGCACATAAGGCATGCACATTTGGATTTACCAGACATTTATTATTTATTCTGTGGTTTAGGGTGAATAGATGAACATACGTTTCCGAGGACCTATCCAACCTAGGATGAATTTTTTAAGGTGAGTAAATGGAATAATCCTATTTTTTCCAAATTATTGAAAAAATTGACACTTCAGGAACACATTTCGTAGCATCGTTTAAAATTAAATTTATTGTGCTGCACGATGAACATAATCGGCATTTGGAGCATCCTCTTTTATAAGCATTTGTAATCCTTATACTGACATAACATTTGCTCCATCGCAACTGCCCTCTACATTTGGACAAATCAATTCCATATTCTTTTATGGTATTTAAAATTACAGTTTTAAGTCCTGCACTACAATCGGAATACTGCTATAAATTCCAAAAAGAACTCACAGATTTTCATTACCAAGATCTATCAAAAAACTACAGAAAATTGATCCATTTTTAACAGGTTTTAGACACATTGGGCACTAATTGATGATATGATTATTTTTCAGGAAGTACAGCCAAGGAGTTTAAGTGAGATAGTGGATAACATTTTACGAATTTTTGCTTACACATGTTCGGGGCCCCTGTAGCCTGGGAGCCCCGTATCATTGATATAACTGATATGACGCCCGGTAGCCAGTGGATATGAGTGGACAGGAATGTGTTATGGCAAACACTGAACTCATATGGGTTGAGCGCTGGTTTGATACAGGCATTAAGGTCTCTTTATAGGGACTCTAGTGCTTGTGTCAGGATCAATGGGGTCTACTCGGACTGGTTTGGCATCCAAAAAGGTGTCAGACAGGGCTGTGTAGCTTCCCCTTGGCTGTTCAACCTATTTATGGACAGGTGTTTGCAAACTTTGAAAGATGAAGAATGTGGGTTAAGAATGGGCGAGTTAACCGTCAAATGCCTTTTGTATGCCGATGATCAAGTCATATATGCGTCATCGGCGGCTGAGTTGCAAATGATGGTTACATTAATGAACTGGGAATTAAAAGAAAGGGGAATGAAAGTGAACGCAAGTAAGACGAAAGTGATGGTTTTTGAAAGAGAAAGGCAAAACGGTATGTGAAATAAGAATAGAAGGAGAGTTAATTGAGCAAGTGGATGAGTTTGTGTATTTGGGATGTGTATATAGCAGGGATGTTAGATATGATAGGGATATAGAACGACAAGTAAATGCAGGGAATAGAGTGAATGGGACCTACACTCTATTGTGAAGAACCAGAATGTGTCAAAAAAGGCATGTATGGTAATTCATAATGCTGTGTTAGTCTCTACTTTAACATATGGTAGTGAAAGCTGGGTGTGGCAGAAGAAGCACGAAAGTAGAATAAATGCTGTAGAAATGCGGTCTTTAAGGAATATGCTAGGGTTTAATCTGAATGACAGGGTGAGAAATTGCGTGATAAGAGATAAATATGGTATGCAAGATGATGTTGTGACCAGGATTAAGAAAGGAATGCTTCAGTGGTTTGGTCATGTAGAAATAATGAATGAGGAAAGAGTGACAAAGCAAATTTATATGGCAGATGTGAATGGCCGAGTCGGGAAGGGACACCCTAGAAAAAAGGTTATCGACCAAATTGGCGATATTTTGAAAATGGGCCACGTTAGAAGTACCCTTAACCAACGAGCATGTATGCGTAGATATATGGATGTAAAGGAGGCGAAAGAGGTATGTCAGGATCGTGCCAAATGGAAGTCCGTAGTCTCTGCCTACCCCTCTGGGTGACAGGCGTGAGTGTTTATGTGACGGTAGCCACGCCCTTGGCCAAATTATATCTGTGCCCTGTCTATCAAAACTTACAAGCCTTGTATTACAAGCGGTTATCCTGTAAAAAAATTAATTATTACAAATATGTGTTTATCAAAACTGCACGTGTAAATTAAAAGTTACAAGGGTCATTATTTATTTCACAAGTATATTTTTACACTTGTATTCGTGATTTTGTTTATCAAAAATCCCTTGTAAGTTACAATTTGTAGAAAATCATAGCAAATCCAAAGAGTGTCCAGCGACTCTCCATTCCGTCTTACAAGTGTTTTAAGTAGTACTGTAATATTTTTTTTTAATTTGATTGTCCTTTTTAAAATGTAGTCAAGTGACTCAAGCGATGATGGAAATATTAGAATAATGGAACCAAGAACATATAGAACAAGAATTGGCTACGGTCATATGGAGACGACCTATTAATTTAATCGAAGGTTTCGACTTAAAGAACTTTTTATCGCGAATCAATTGTAAAATCATATATTTAGAATACACTTAAATAAAAAGGGAAATACTTTGTGATTTATTTTTAATTCCCAAAATAGAGTTTTAAGGAAGGATTCAATAAAAAGCAAAAACAAAATGGCGGGAAAAGAATGCGGCACACGTTTTTGATTTTAAAACTTACAAGTAGAACCTACAAGTCTTAAATTTTACAAGCCCTGTAGATTTTTTTGATAAACGTAATTTACTCGAACATGTAAAAACTTTCTTGTAAACTGAAACATGTGAACAAGTAGACTTGTGTGTTTTGATAAACAGGGCACTGCTCTTAACTTTAGCAATACGGTTTTAGGAAAAATAATAAATTTAAAAGGACTACGTACTGTTGATATTACGGCCGGACATTTTTTCTTATTTAAGATTTGATAGAAACACAATAAAAATTATCAAGTAAATTACTAATTTTACTTCGACAAATGACAACCAAAAACGCGCGAACACTAATTGCGAACTCCAAATAAAACAGTGTTACCAAATTTTTTTCACCTTCCCCCCTAGATTTTTCCAAAAAACCCCTAGTTTCCCTATGTAGAGGGATAAAAAACCTCTGAATTTTTATTCGGTCAAGTTTCGTGTGAATCAGATTTATCAAAAATAAGTTTCTACTACATACAAGCTTAGTACTTAGACCATTAATCCCAATGGATGAGTAATGCGCCTAATGCTACGAATAAAAAGTCTGTTACTTATGGTGCGGGGGAAGAAACACTACATAGACAGTACTGCACACCTACTCAATAAAATTTTGTGTCACTAAGACACACACAAATATAAATCTCCTACACTATTACATTTTATGCACACATGTAGGCTAAATACATCAATATAGAAAAAGTTATGAGTATAAAACGGACAAATTAATTGCGATACTACCATATCGATATTTTATATCGATAATGAATTGGCGGCACTGTCTGTTTTGAAAAAGAATTCAGAAGTTGGTAAGACTAGTGAAAAACCTTCAGAACAACCCCTAGATTAATTTCGTGATATTAAAACCTCTAAAAAATACCTCAACGTCCTCCAAAAACCCCTAGATTGAGGAAAAACCTCTAAATCTGGCAACACTGAAATAAAATAACCCACAGAATCAGAACAGACTACTAAGAGGATACTACGTATACGGATACGGAAATAACCACACCACAGAGTCAGAGCATCAGTGTTTCAGTGTTGCCAACTTTAAAAAATAAAGTGGGGTCGTACCATACGCTAGGAAAATCGCAATTTGCTAAAAACTCTAGAAAATAAATAGCACGCATTGAAATTCCAATAAAATAACAATAAATGATTTAATAAGTAAGATTATTAACTTTATATCAATACTGAATAATTAGGGTATTTAGAATATTAAATATAATTTTTTTTTTCAAAACTATTTTCAAACACAAAAGCAAGACAATAGCAATGAACTTAGACCATTCAATCTAATGGACGAGTAACGCGTCTAATGCTACGAGCAAAAAATTCTGTCAGTTTTGGTGCGGGGGACGAAACACTACATACACTACTGCACATCTAATCAATAAAATTTTGTGTCATTATAGCACACACAAATCTAAATCTCCAACACATTACATTTTACGCACACATGTAGGTTAATTACGTCAACATAGAAAAAGTTATGAGTTAATGAGAATAAACTCTAAGTAGTCTCTTTACACTTTTATTGTTTATATGTTGTTTATAT